GGGCCGCTAGCACCACCGACGGACGTCGAGACAGAGCCTCGCGGCGGCGCCAGGCAAGCGGGCCCAGGGGGCCCCAGCTGCGGCGCAGCGGCGTCCGAGCCGCCGAGGGCTGCGGAGGGGCCTGCGCTGACGGGCCACTCCCAGGCGCGCTGCGCTTCAGCCGCCTGGCCGACGCCGGCGCCGCCAGGCCGCGGGACCGCAGCGGGCGCGCGGCTGCCAGTGGCAGGGCTGCGCTCGAGTCCAGGCGGGGCCGCTGGGGCCGCGGGCCAGCCGCTGTCGGGCCGACTGTCGCCCTCGGGGCCCCGCGCCGAGCTGCGGCGGTGCCGAAGCTGGCGCCCACGCGCCGCGGCAGCGCGCCAGCTGGCCCCAGATGCAGCGCGTCCTGCAGCACCCTCGCGGGAGCGGCTGTCACCGTCGGCCGCATTGACCTCGCTGGGCACCCATCGTCGATGCATGCGGGCCCCCGAGGCGAGAGTCAAGGCGGCGCCTCGCCGCAAGATATTGAGCAGAAATATATCACGACAGCGTCCTTTAGATAGTGCAAGTGTGAGTGCTAGATTGTCCCCCAAGACGACGCGCCTCTTCCCCCAGGAGTCCGCGTCCGACAGGATCAGCTTCACGGCGTGTAAGTCACCCCTTGCCTCCTTACGATGCATGGGCCCCTTGCCGAAGAGAGGCGAGTGGTGTATGGTCGACCAGCTGGCGCGGCGGATGGCGCGCGTCGACACTTCAGGGAATCGTTTGTTGGCGAGACCCTGGCGCAACAGAACAGACGGGTGTGCATCCAGCTCGGCGGCCTCGGCCGCACGTGCCGCGCGGTCGCGCGGCCGCCAACCCCCGCCCGCCTCACGCGCGTGGCGGAACCGCCACCGCTCGTGCCAGCGGCCAGCACTCTGCACCTCGGAGAGGTCCCACTCGCCCTCGACCGAGGCGCGGCCCGTCTCGCAGGCGTCAGTCATGACGACCTTGGTGGACCACTCGGCGTCGAGGTCCGAGACGAGCGTGACCAGCAAGCCGCGGAAGATCCTGAACTCGCGCCGCGCCGACGCCCAGAGGGGCCTGGCGCGCTGGTAATTCTGCTGGACGAACGAGTAGACGGCGCTGAAGCAGCTCAAGCTCTCGCGCCGACACAGCGCGGCGAACGCGCAGTGGCCGATGACGTGCTCGATGTCACGGCTGGTGACGCGGGGGCGCCGTTGAACCAAGTAGCCAAGCCCCATGCACAGCTTCCAGAACCTCCGTGGCGCCAAGGTGGCGCGAGCAGGCGATCCATGCAGCTGCCCGCCAAGCATGGTCATGCTCTCAGCGGCGTCGGTCTCGTCGTGGACGGCCAGACCGGAGCCCTCCAGTGCCTTGGAGGCCTCACGTCTGACCCTGGTCACGGCCTCGCGGTCGGTGTCGACCACGAGCACGTTGTCGACGTACAGCGAGTGGATGGGCTCCTTGAGCGGGCTGGGAACCGGCACGAAGTCGACCGCCCGCAGCTCGGGCTTCAGGGCGTCGTGCTGGTCCAGCGTCCGCTCGTGAGCCTTCTGAACGAAGAAGAGTGCCCAGCTCCACCCCATGGGAACAACGGCAAGTTGTGGGTAAAGGCAGGCCCAGGGCGGGACACGCCGCCCGTCAAGCCTGCTGATGCCAAGCTCGCCCGCGGTGACCTTCGGCAAGCAGAAGTACGACCGCAGGTAGGCATGCAGCTTGCGCTGGTAGAACGCGTTCTGGACGTCCACCCCCGCGCAGTAGAGGGGCGTGTCCTTCGGCACCTCGAGGTCCGCGAACCTCGCGGCGGAGAACAGGCTGACCGACGGAGGGGGCTGAAAACGCTGGTTGCTACGCCTGCAGTCCAGCACCATCCTGATCCGCTCGTCCTTCTTGGCCACGAAGAAGGCGGAGACGTCCTCGGCCCTCTCTTCCCCTAAGACGAAGACGCCCCGCGAGATGCCAGACTGGATGAAATCGAGGTAGAGCGGCCTGTTCCGCTCCAGCACAGGGTCCATGTACAACGCGGGCCCCCCCTCTGTCTCCACGGCCTCGTCGAAGCTCGGTGGCGGCAGCAGCAAAGCATGGTCGAGGTCCAAGAGAGAGCATCGTTCGCTTGTCCCCAGCCGATCCGCGAGCCACTGAGGCTCGTTTCCCAACTCGGGCCAGCTCACGAGGTGCGGAGCGTAGGGCCTCAGCGGCAAGTCGTTAGCCGTGTCGCAGTGCAGACACGGGCGGCCCAAAAGCTCTGAGCAGGCTTCCTGGGCCGACGTGCTCGGAGGGGCAGCCATATCACGATGCAGCCCTCGAACACGTCGATGCAGCGAAACATCCAGATGCGAGAGGCGCTCTGGCGCGACCCGCGGCGTGGCGTAGCCCCCAAGCAAGTTGAGGCACTCCACGGTGTCCCGAGTACGCTCCTCGATCAACTGGGCGCGAGAAAGGCGAGCCCGAACCGAACGGGGCAGTCCAGGCGGGGGAGATGAGGAAATCGGCGACGCAGACACAGCAAAGGGCAGCATGCCATCGCCAGGAGGTTGGACATCAGGATGTCCACAAAACTGGCTCTCAAATTGCGGCGATCGGGTCGAGCCACCTCCCGGCCGCCGACCCCAGGTCACCCCTTGTCCTTCTTGCCCGACTGGGCAGACTTCTCCTCGCGCGCCTTGCGCCTCTGCTTCTGGATCTCCGTCTCCTTGGCGAGCTGCTCGGTGGCGTACTTAGCGACCCCCGGTGCCATCGCGACGCCACGGCGGGCGCTCTGCTTCTGGCGGCCGATGTAGTGCTCGACGCCCTCGATCTTCATGCTCCCCATGGTCTCCTCGATCAGCTGGTAGGCCCGTGAGACCACCTCCATGCTGGCGAGGTTGGAGCCGTCGACCTGGTCGTAGGTGACGGCCAGCTCGATGGCGAAGCCAAGCAGATCGTGGATGTGCGCAGCCGCCGAGTCCTTCGTGCAGCCGCTCTCCATCATCCACTTGGTGTGGCGGCCATCTGGTGTGCCCCCGTGGTCGACGATGTAGTCGCACAACCACTTGAAGCTGCGCTCGCCGACGAGCGGAAAATCGTCATGCTGCTCCTGTCTCATGGACGACACCGCATCACGAAAGTCGCGGTGCCTGCGGCCCTCCCGCGTGCGCTGGAGAGGGCCGAGGAGGCGCGCGTCGTCGTCAGCTAGCTTGTCCGACACCTCGGCAGGCAGCGGGACAGGGTGGAGCTCGATCGGGACAATGAAGCCGCCCATCGTGCTGTAGAGCCCGCTCTCCCCCCAAATCACGTCGCCCGCCTTCGGGGCGACCTCGTCGAGCTGCTGGCACTCGTTGGGGACCGTCTTCATCACGATCCATGCCGACCCAGGCGGCGCGGCCCGCTCGTCCGTGAGCACGACCGCGCCAGGGCCGCCCCTCGGGGTCGGAATGCCCCCGACCTCGCCGTCGGCAAGCGCCCCTGGCTCAGCGCCCGCAGCATCAAGCGGGGGCGGGGCCACAGGCAGGCCAGGGGGCGGGCCGCGCGGCACGGCTGCGGACGGGCCCTTGCCCCGCGTGCGGCGCAGGAAGCCTGGCACGTCGCTGAGGCTGACCGTCGTGCTCCTGGAGGGTCGGCCGCCGTCGCGCATGAAGGCCGTCGGCTCGGGCTCGCGCAAGCCGGCGCTGCGGCCAGCCAGGCGAGCGTCCCGCAAGAGGTCGATCATGTCGTCCTCGGCAGGATATTCACGAAATCTGTAGACTCGCCCTGATGGGCGAACAGCAGCAGGAGTCGCCCCGATCGTGAGGGAGACGCGGCTCGGCCCATCGCCGTCGGGCCCAGCCGCCATCTCCTCGGGATACACATCGCCGTCAGGCGTGAAGCAGCTCCAGCAGGTGTTGGGAAAAGCGCCAGGGTACGGCCACAGCAGCAGCCGTTCGTGCCATATGCTCGGGTCGTCCTCGTAGTAGAAGCTGACAACCAGACCTGGCACCAGCTCACTGAAGAACTCCGCCGCCTCGGCGGCGGTCCCGTCGCTCAGGAAGAGGCTCAGGTTGGCGGGCAGGAGGGCCATCGCGACGACGCAAGGCGACGAGGCACGTGCCACACTGCGTCAACGCCGCGGTCAGCACCACCCCAACCGCGTGCCACAGGAGCGTGTCGGGCTCCTCGTGCAGCTCGGACGGCGTCGCCTGCAGGGTGCGGAACTCGGCCAGCTCCGTAGACAGGTTGGTCAACACGACCTGCACCTCGTCCAGCGCGGCGTGGCACCTGCTGAGGTTGGCCGCGCGCGCCGCGGCAAGCTGGGCGCCGCGCTCGGCGGCCCGCTGGGCAGCCAAGGCCGCCCGACTGTCCCAGTCGTCGGGCGGGCCGCCTCCGCCGCCCGCGCGCAGCAAGCCTGGCTGCCACGCGTCCAGAGCACACCAGATGCAGACAAGCGTCCACGATGGCAGCCGCAGGGCGGGAGGGCGCATACGTGTCAGGTGCTCCCTGAGGAGAAAAAGGCTTGAGCGAAACGTATCGGACTCTGTGTATTCATCTCCTGCACGTTCAGAGGACAAGTCTCATCAACATCATCATATCACCATATCACCATAAACATCATCACCATCAACATCATCAACATCAACATCATCATCATAATAAGCATCAACACCATCATCATCACCATCAACATCATCATCAACATCATCATTTTCATCGCATCAATCATCGTCCTCATCTCCTGATCCGTCATCCTCCTCCTCTTCCTGATCCACCTGCTCCCCTCCCCCACCACATCCGGCAAGCTGCGCGAGAACTTTTGGCAAAACCTGCCGCCTGGGGCCCCTGTGACGACTGCGGCTCAAGACGAGCGACGAAAACAGACGGGCCTCACGCGAGAAGGCATAGCGACCTTACGCCGTAGATTAATGCGGGCCGCCAGCGCGGCACGCCACACTGAACACGAGGGCACTTACGCGCGACCGCACGCGGGCAGCTTACGCGCCAATGCTGCCTTATGCTCTACCGCACCAGAACAGAAAACAAATCCTGAGCGGACCCCCGCGCCGGGTCGCCTGCACGTGCCGCGTGTTGACCCGCATCTGCGGGATCTCCACGATCTTCTCGACAGTCTGGATCTGGGGCACCTCCGCCGATGGTCAGGGGAACAACATATGGGAGGGTCTCGCGGCAACGAGCAAGGACAATTCAGCAGGACTGAGGGGCTGTCGAGCAGATGTAAACCTCACGTAGCCTCGTCTCGAAACTGTGCCCAGAAATCTGCCCGAATGCGACCGAAACCGGCGCCCTGCTTTTTCCCGAACGCGCCCGAGATTGATCAATACGGTGTTCAATGTTGGTTAGAATTTCGGTCGGACTTTGTTTTCGGCGACATCTTCGGGCTTCGTTTGGTCGCATATTCATGTTCGGTCGCAGACACTATCGGCTGATAGGGGCCAGGCGCCATGATAAACCACGTCAGACCCCGATTCATCCAAGTCAGGCAAGAGTAAGCGGGACTGAGCGGGATACGGCTTCCGACCATCCGGAACGCTGAAGAAGAAACGAAGAGGCCTTTCTGGCCACGGCTAGCCTCGGCCACGAACAGGTTCACCGACTTATATCTGAGAAACGGCCCGAGTGGTCCTTATTTCAGCGCCTTGACTGTGTACCGATACCGAATTTCACCTTCCAGGAGCTGCGACCGAACGAGGAAGAGGGCAATCGGGGAGTGCCATCCGCGCCCTCACTCGGCCGGGCCGCCGCCGCGCTGGACGTGAGCACCAGCTCCCAGACCTCCAACGTCTCGAACGGAGGACGCAGAAAGGACACGCTGGTTGAATACTATATACGTGCTTATGCTGGAGACGCACGTCCGACCCGAACATGTAGCACAAACACAGTATAGCGCATCGTTGCCCAAGCGGTACGCCTGCCATGGAGCTTACAATTCCCCAAACACCGCTTGCACTTAAGGGTTCTTGCTTGGTCTCAAAAATAACTGAGCCTGAGTGCCAGTGTGGCCGGCTCATTGCCGCCCGTCGCCCGCCGCCCATCACCACCGCCGTCGCCGCTGGTAACTGGGCCTGAATGCCAGTCTGGCCGGCTCGATGCCGCCCATCGCCGCCAGTCGCCGCCGTCGCCGCTGGGCCCTAGTGCCGCTCGTCGTTACCCGTCGCCGCCATCGCCGCCTCCAGTGCCGCCAGCCGACGCCCGTTGCTTTGCACACGGCTTTGCAGTGCATTGCATTTCATTTCATTGCATTGCATTGCGTTGGAATCGGATTGCATTGCATTGCATTGCGTTGCAATCCTTGGCATTGCTTGGCATTACGTTGCATTGCTGCGCATTGCATTGCATTGCATTGCATTGCATTTCAGTTCAGTTCATTGCATTGCAATCGCAATGCGTTGCATTACATTGCATTGATTTGGCTTTGCATTGCATCAGCATTGCTTTGCATTGCGTTGCCTTGCCTCGCATTGCTTTGCATTGGTGTGCAGTGCGTCGCATTGCTGTGGCATTGATTTTAATTGATATGCGTTGCTTTGCATTGCTTTGCATTGCGTTGAATTGCCTTGCATTGCTGTGCATTACTGTGCAATGCGTTGCATTGCTTTGCGTTGCATTATTTTGCATTGTGTTGCGTTGCATTCCATTGCGTGACACTGCTTTGCATTGCGTTGCAACCTCAGCGCATTGCATTACAGTGCATTGCATTGAATTGCATTACATTGCGTTGCATGTCTTGTCAGCGTTGCATAGCTTTGCATCGCTTTGCATTGCATTGCGTTGCAATCCCATTACGTTGCATTGCATTGAGTTGCTTCGCACTGGTTGGAGATGCGTGGCATGCCTTGGCATCGCTTGGCACTGTTTTGAATTGCCTTACATGGCGTTGCAATGATTTGCGCATTTCATTGCTTTGCATTCCTGTGCAGCCTTTGCATTTGTTTGCATCGCGTTGGCATTGATTTGCATAGTTTTGCATTGCTTTGCATTGCGTTGAATCGCCGTGTACTGCTGTGCATTACTGTGCATTGCGTTACATTGCTCTGCATTGCATTATTTTGCATTGTTTTGCGTTGCATTCCATTGAGCGGCACTGGTTTGCATTGTTTTGCATTGCATTGCGTTGCAATCCCATTGCACGCACTACATTACAATACGTTGCGTTCCATTGCATTGCATTGCGTTGCGTTGCATTACGTTGCATGTCTTTCCAGTGCGGTGCATCGCTTGGCATTGCTTTGCAGTGCATTGCGTTGCAATCCCATTGCGTTGCATCTACTTGCGTTGCTTCGCACTGGTTGGAGTTGCGTGGCATTGCTTTGCACCACATCGATTATCCTTCCTAAGAAAAATCAGATCTCCCCCCTCCCCCCGCCGGGAGCACGGCCCCCCTTTTCGTGTTGCGATTTACATATGGTTCTGCCCCATCGTCCATCTCAAATATGAACTCACAACACCCCAGCTCAACAAGTATCGATCCCCCCCGCCATCCTCTGCATAGAATACTATGCGCCAGCATTCGCTGATCAAAAAATCAAGAGTTGCCAAGAATCCCTGGCAACAAATGGGACGAAGTGCACACGCGCACGTCGTCGCGCGCATGCCGAAATCCGTTAAAAACCTGCGGCGTTGTAAGGATGTCAATATCGAGTGTCCAAAAACATGTAGAAACACATGGTCTCGCAACACCGAGTTTCAAGAAAGCTTGCGCGCGCGCTCCTGCGAATTCTTAAAACCACAGGTTTCCAACATCTTCATGGAATTCTACAAGACGGGCTTCGCACGCGCGCATGTCGAACTCGTTAGAAAGGCCTTTTGCGCGCGTGCTGTCGCGAGAATCTGTTGCAAAAAAACGAAGTGCACGCGCGCGCGTCGTCGCGCGCGCATGCCAAAATTCTGCAAAAGCTACAGGTGTCGCAGGGATTTCACAAACTATTGTCCCGAAACCATTTCAAATATACATACACATACATGTATAATGTGTATATATATGTATGGTTTCGCAACATCATTGCGCTCGCGCTCTGACATATATATATATATATATATATATATATATATAAATGAATAAATTATCAGCCCCTCCCCAGCACCCCGTCCTCCAGCATGCGATCACTCCGATGATCCGCCTCCTCCTCCACCTCCTCCTACTCCTCCTTCCCCATCTCCTTTTCCTCGTCATTGATCTCGTTATCCTCATCCTCCTGTTCCTTCGCCCCAGCCTCCTCGCCAACCATAGCTCAGCGCCCCCACCTCCATCCATCCCTCCTCCTCATCCCCATCGCTCTCCTCCTCCTCCTCCTCCTCCTCCTCCTCCTCCTCGTCCTCCTCCTCCTCCTCCTCCTCCTCCTCCTACCCCTCACCCTGCTTCCTCTCCTCTTCCTCGTCCTTCTCCCCCTCATCACCCTCTTCGTTTTCCAATGTGACGCGTTGACCATCTTGCCGCAAGCCTTGTTGGCGAATGGGGCGGAGAAGGAACATTAGGAAACGGATGGGGGACGGAGAGACCCCACAGCAACGCACATCGGCAGGGAGCCATCATTCCGATGATCTTCCTCATCCCCCTTCTGCTCTTCATCCTCGTCCTGCTCGCCCACCTCTTCATCATCCTCCTCGTCCTCCTCCTCCTCCTCATCCGCCCTCTCCTCGCCCTCATCCACATGGTCCTCATCATCCTCATCCTCTCACTCCTTCGCCCCAGCCTCCTCGCCGACTGGCCAGGAGGGCATCAGCCTGACTACGATGGCAAGCCAACGGATTGCAATCCAACCGAATTCAGTCACGTCTATTTCGACGCGGCCGGCTGCAACCTAACCGAAACCAGTCCAATGGGTCGCAAGCCAGCCGATTGATTGCCAACCGATCGCACCCCAATGGGTTCTCACGGATAGCGATCGTTCCAACGATCTCCCTCTTGTTTGTTATCTTTCTCCTCCTCCTCCTCCTCACGCCATCCTTTGTTGTTCCTTCATACTCTTATTCCTCTTACTCTCCCTCCTCCTTCTCATTCCCCCTTCCTCGTCCTTCTCTTTCTCACCTTCCCCACGTCACTCCTCTTTCTCTTCCTCGCGTTCCGTGCCCGCCTCCTCATCCTCATCCGTCTGGTATTCTTCCGCCTCAGTCAAACTTGTTGCGATTATCTGTAGTTTGCTCTGAATCGAGTGCCTTGTTTTGCGTTTTTTTCTCTCGCTCTTCTCCCCCAGCGCTGGCGCCGCATCGCGCCATGCCAGCTACATCCAAGAAGGCCGTCAAGACGAAACAAGAGAATTGCCGCGACCGCAAGCGCAACAAGTCCCTAATGAACTGGGTCGCAAAACCTTGGGTGAAAGGAGTTCCTCAAGGAGGCTGCGCAGAAGCACCCGCGCAAGTACCGCAGCACGCTCGAAGCCTTGAGGCGCGACAAGGCCACCCTCTCACAGCAGGTCAAGAGCCAGCGCAAGCAGTTGTTCTTCATGCGCCGCGACGTCTTCGTGGCCCAGGTGCTGGGGTGAACCCAATCAAATTAACAGGTGAACAGCGACGCGGTGCAACCGAACGCGCCGCGCCACCACCGCACCTGCAACGCACTACAGCCCAACCAACGCTCAGCCAACACCAACACCCACCACAACAGCAGCAACAACACCCACCACAACCAACCAACACCCACCACACCAACACCAACACCAACACAGCAGCAACAACACCCACCACAACACCAACACCAACACCAACCAACACACACCACAACAGCAACAACAACACCAACACCAACACCAACACGGACAGCGCGCATCAGTCCGCCACAACACAACACGTAACAGACCCCACCCAGCGCGCAGCCGACGACAACCAGAAGGCCTTGCAGAAGGCCAAGAGCAAGAACGGCAAGCTGGAGCACTTGGTCGAGGAAACGGCGCGCCTGAGGCACGGCGGCGCGCCCGAAGGGAGCGAGCAAGGGCTGGCCTTTTTTCGAAACTCGGAAACGGGCTTCTGCCACGCAAGCTGCCTGCGAGGGTGGAGTTTTAGGCCTCTTCGAGGTCTCCCGCGGGACCCCTCGGGAGCGGTTTCCTCAGCGTGCCAGTCCTCGCTCCGTTTGCTTCTCGTTCGGCGCTTCGCCGAAAAAAAAGCGGCAGGCGCGGAAGGCGAAGGCCCG